TCAGGATTTCAATGAAACTTTTAAATAGCACCCATCACATTTCAATGAACCTAAGACTATACACCATATTAGTTTTTGCTAAATATTTATGCTTCTTAATCACCTAATTAACATAATTAATTAATACTAATATCTCAAGTATTGATCATCACATTTGAATAAAACTTGGTACATAAATGCTCTAGGACAATAGACAGCCTGATTAATTTTGGGTTAAAATCTGTTCATATTAATTCTCTAATTAGCATAATAGTTAATATTTTTTTGGTTCTAATCACATTCCAATGAAACTTGGTACATTGTGCAGACTTTATTAGTTTTACACCTAAATCTGTTCATATTAGTTACCTTATTTGCATAATTAGTTTTCAGCTATTCCATCAATATCTAAAGTATAAGTAATTTTGAATTAATTTTTAATGTGTCTCCAAAACTCTCAGCACACGGGAGTTCTTTCTAAGCTTTCTTTGATTTTTTAATATTTTGGATATTTCATTTACCGTAGTCATGGACACCTACGGTATCCAAGAGTATGATGTTATTGTGAATAGCATGAATGGGTAAGCTTCGTTTCGACAATGAGCTGTTATTTCTGTGAACAATGTTAAATTATTTTTTGAATGCTCAGTTTATTTTTTGAAAACAACTAATTTTTGGATTAAAAAAAAAAAATCATGCCGTTTTCCCCGTCAAAATCAAAGCAATAAAGATCTTGTACAACATCGGTGAATCTCTACAGTACCGCGTTGCGTTTACCACGAGGTCACTGAACCGTCATTAACATATTTAAATGAGCCACGTGTAAATGGGAACATGGCGGATATTGTATTGTATCGAGCATTTACATTTGATCGAAATCATTCGTTTACGATGAAACTAAGTTGAATATTACTTCCAATTCATAAAAATTCAACGAATTAATTGTTTGTGCGTTATTATAATCATTACTGAATAATAATCAACAATTGCAATACTTCGAAAACAAGTAAGTTATTCACTTGCGAAACAGAATGACCAGATTGTGCTACCGTGATCATTTGCTACCGGTATCGCGGTACTAACCACTAAGCAATGTATTAGTGTATGTATTTATTCAAAACTTCTTTTAGAACATACTTTATATTCGTTATCAACAAAATTATAAAAAAATAATGCATATTACATTATGTGATTTTTTTTTTTGGGGGGGGGGGGGGTTCAATTCCAACATTTCGCAGTGCCTATGAACCAAAGGCCTTTCACTCTTCTCTGAGTGTGACACCTAAACCAGAGGTTTTATGGTGTATAAATTGGCACTAAATGAAAAGGCCGTTGAACCTTATTCAAATTTATAAGTACATGTTATTATGCATTTCATTATGAAAACTGACTAAATTAAATGTGATCTTATTTTTAATTGTTTGAACAGAATGATTTATATCGGTAATGACGTTTTCATCCAATATTAATTGTGCAATTGTTAAAATGCCTACCTACACATTTATTGTTTTTGTTTCTAAAATAGACATTTGTAAAAAAAAAAATTAAAAAATCATGCTTGATTAAAATTCAAAAAAAAACAAGATGTAGCCCCTTTTCTGTTATGTTTCCAACTTCTTCCAAAGTAAAACTGGCGAAGGCATGTAATTGCCATACAATCATCAACTGTGGGAAAACTTGTATGTTATTGAAAATCTTTATTTTGCTGTCTGTGAATTAATATAATATTTGAAATGACGTAATGGTGCAAAATATTCTCAAGCAATTGGTTTTCTGGTGGCACTACACTGCGCATTTATGCACAGACAGTATCCCAATGCGCAATCACAGCTTACTAAGTGATGATGGTGGTTGAAATGGAAGACTGAATACAAAAATCCAGTAACATCTCAAACGAATTTCCGTCTGCTGTGAATGCATGTTTCGTTGCATCAAATAAATAACCCATTTTTATGATAGAAGCTTGCAATCTTGTGCCATACAGGGTCAAGTGATTGAGCAATAAAAAATGTACCAATGATCTTGGCCACTTTCAAAAACAAATATTTTTCCATGGTCGAATTGCAAGAATACAAAACTACTGTGATTGCATAGGGCCATTGTCAATTAGTTCGCCTGATCAACACAGCGTTATACATAGGACTGATATTGAATCACGAAGAGTAAAATCTTGTGATACTAATCTCTAGAACCACCCAGATTGGTACATATGTCTTATGAATCCACATGTGTATATCTTGGACAATACTCATTTTAAACTTTTTTTTTTTTTTACAGTGGTGCTGTGAACTGCTTCAATTTCGCAAGGCAATTATTTCTGGGTTCCCAGAACATGGAGTGTCAGGGACTTTATTGAAATGTTGTACACAAATTTCATAAAATCCTGAATATATCTAGAAGTGAAAATTAAATGGTTTACAGTATTTTATACCCATTAATAATGATTGAAATGCAATAATATCACTGCACTAAAAAGACTTCAAACAATTATTGTTACTTCTCCATTGAAGGTTATGAGCAGACCAACCTTTACTTGCTCTGAAAACATAGCTTTTACAATTGTTTAAATTAACAGATGTTGTTCTATGTACAATGAATACATTTTAAATAATAAACCTTACTGTGTTAATAACAAATTGTATTTGACAACATGAGAATGATTCTGATACCCAGTGGTGATGTTGAAACAAACTCAGGTCCTGGTAATGTACTAAGACTTGATTAACAAAGAAGTCATGTACATCAAGGTTCACTCAGATTTATGAATGCAGTTTCTTGAGCAAGTATACATGTATGACAAATAGTTGTGTTGCACTTGTGTACTCTGAGATTCTGAACATGGATCAGTGAAAGTTTTTAGTTGTCAGTACAAAACTAGATTATGGGAAATCACTTCATGATGAGTTGTACCCACAAAGAGTACATATTTATTCACCTGTTTGCAGATGTTCCTTGTACTACCTTTACTCTATAATCAAATAACGGGGACTGTGACATTTCATGTCTTGTATTTCAGATTCGATTCAAAATAGCTGACTGGCGGTCATTTTGTTTTAATGATTGGGCTTCTAGAGCCATATCTCTTGACATGCTTTGACTGATTATGTTCAAATTTGATATATTCGTTATACATCATGTTATAGATATATACATGTATTTAAAATGGCTGATTTTGAATGCTGTTCCAGAGCAATATCTCTCAATATGGACAAGTACTTGTTTGACGATCAGATACAAATGTCAATCATTTTAATGTTAAACAATCATCATAATCATATTCCTGACATGGTTATATTCCAGCTATATTACTGTAAACAAAACTATAAACCTTAAATTTAATAACTAATGGGCACTGTGCCATGTATGGCTTGTTTTGATGAATATTTTTGTCATTTTTGGTAAAAGTGATATTTTCGACTTCTTGTTAAAATAACGCAAGTCTGATTGCTTTGATATTATACATATAGATACCCCAGGTAGACCTCTCTCAGATTTGTTCATATCGTGATGATATCTTCAATTGTTTAATTGAAATGTGCACTGCTAACAACGGAGCTATCTCAGCCTGGAGGCTGCTTGATTTAATGTTTCTTTTCTACTCCTTTTTTTAATTTCATATCATCATATTTTTAGAGACATCCAGATGGTGTGGCTTCAGTTAAATTCAAAGAACCTGAGGAAGCAGATGTTTGCATTGCTGCATTAAATGGACGGTATGTAATGAAAAATAATGGTGTGAATCTTGTCTTTACTTGATTTTTGTGAAATTTTCCTGAAATAAACTGTTTTCTAGTTTATAGTCAAAAAATAAAAAAAAAACGCCATACCAAATAAGCCGGTACATGCTTACTATACTGGAGGCATCACTTGAGTTTGAATACAAAACATTTCATACAATTGCAAATTTGCAAACGTCATTTGAATTTAATTTTTTGCTATTTTGTTGTTAGTTAGATTAGTCAATTATTGACCATACATTACAAACATGACCAGTGATTTGCATATCCAATTTGATTGCATATATTATGCATGTGATCAGAGAAAAGAGAACAGGCTTGCAGTCATTTTGCTTTTTGTAATCTTAGTAAAATGTGATACGGGTCCGGAATGGTGAAATACACAATAGATAACATATATTGATAGACAATATTTCACAATCAAAGTGTTTTAAAGGTGTCATTTTGGATCAAAATATGCCACTTTTGCTTTGCATTAACCTATTTCATTTTAACTTGGAATAGTATTATGGGATAAAGCTTCAAGCAACATTGTTTTGTGGTTCAAGCACATTTTAGGGGTATTGTTCAGGCCAAATTGGAAACTGACTTGTTCCAGTTGAACAACTATTGTATTTTTTGATCTGGTTTTGTAGGTGGTTTGCTAAACGGCAAATCATTGCTAATACCTGGGATGGACAAACGGATTATCAAGTAGAAGAGACAAGTAGAGAAAGAGAAGAAAGGCTTAAAGGCTGGCAATCATTCCTTGAACAGGATTCAAAGATACAGAAACTACAGTAAACAATGTTGAAACATCATAATGACAGTGAATATTGGGTCTACTGTAATATTTAGATTCAAATAGTAACAGTCATTTTTATCTAGTTTATCTAACTTTGACATTATGCTTTGACTGTAAATTTGTTATCATCCTTATCGCAGCATCAGAAGCACAGTTTCATGAACCAGATATGAACATACCCCCCCCCAAAAAAATGGTAAAATATATGCATCTGATTGCATGTGTCTGGAAAACATGCACCCAATCAGAGCTAGTGTATCATATTGTATAAAAAACAAAAATGGTGGAGTGTATATGAACAAAAACAAATGTGATATTTCTTTTGCACCTTGTTTTGCTAATGTTACCATTGACTAGACAAACTACTTTAAACTGTTTGTAAATAGTTGTAGATTGAATGAATATCTATAAACATTTTATTAACTCACACAGTGATTGACAGGTATTTTGAATACATTCCCCGCCATTTTAAATCAGCATTTTTTTCATGGGGCATGGTCTGTTTTGAATAAGAACAATGACATATAAACATCACACCCCAAATACATGTAGCCACCATCAAAATCTTTTAGGAGTCGCAGTTTGGCCTCAAAGCATCATAACTAGGATTAAATCTAGTCCAGACAGCATGACATATCTGCTTGTGATATGTCTATTTCCCCCCGTTAAATGTAAAAAAATATGAAGAAAATTATGTATCTTGCTGGTAGACTAAGATGGCATTTATTCAGTTTTCATTCAGGGTTATTGCTTAAAACTATGATTGTCCAGTTTGGTCTATCAATTGTATCTAAAGAAGCATTTTTGTAATCATTTCAAAAAATTTTTTATATCAGTTGCTGTTTCAGGAGATTAAGGAGGTGGGTTATAAACATTAGTTTGCATAGTGCACGAAGGCACAGTTTGGGATTTGAAATTACCCATGAGCACTAGGTGCAATCCCTGTAATAATAATGTAAACAATGGTACCAAACCTTTTGTACTTTAGTATTGAGGTTGTGGCTATCAATAATTGTCAAATACATTACAAATTTTGATTAAAATCATCTTTGAAAAAAGGACATAACTGATTCACGGACAGAATATTTTTTTCCCCAGGTAATAAACATTTTCTTTTATAAACAGCATCCTTGCATGTTGTTGTAATCTGAATAAAATAAGAAGTTTTTTATGAGTATTTTGTGTCATCTCAACTTTTGTCACCTTTGAGTAAACTTCTCATCCAATCAAGTGTTTTACTTCCACTGCACCAACATCATATATTTTTGAAGTGCAAGATTGCTACATTTACTTGCAGTGGGCATCTGCAATTAAAATTAGGTTGATTTTCTAGCCAATCTTCAATGATTGCATTTCACATGTTAGAGATATTTTGCAATGAATGTACATAAAAGTTTGGGACATTGTTTGAAAACATATAATTGGGCATCAGGATTCATGACATTCAAACAAGGCTCCCTATTAGTCTCATACAATATGTATACATGTGCAACTTCATAATAAAAACAATGGCGAAAACTCAAATTAAGTGAAAAATTATTCTCAAAAAACCAAAACCTAGATTTTATCTCAGATAAAATTTCAAAAATGGGACTTGGTTACATCTTCATCTGTCCATCAAATTGTCTGGTCATTTCAATTTCACACACACATGTCATGTATTTGCAGTGTTTGGTGTTTTTTGGATATGAACCATAATTCCAGGGTATTCTTTATGTCACAGTGTTTAAAATCATCCAGTTGGTTGGTCACATGGCTGTACATTGTGGTTCATCATTGGTCACATGGCTGTACATTATGGTTTAGTATTGGTCACATGGCTGTACATTGTGGTTCATCATTGGTCACATGGCTGTACATTATGATTCATCATTGACCACATGGCAGTACATTGTGGTTCATCATTGGTCACATGGCTGTACATTATGGTTTAGTATTGGTCACATGGCAGTACATTGTGGTTCAGCATTGGTCACATGGCTGTACATTATGGTTTAGTATTGGTCACATGGCTGTACATTGTGGTTCATCATTGGTCACATGGCTGTACATTATGATTCATCATTGGCCACATGGCAGTACATTATGGTTTAGTATTGGTCACATGGCAGTACATTATGGTTCATCTTTGGTCACATGGCCGTACATTATGGTTCAGCATTGGTCACATGGCTGTACATTATGGTTCAGCATTTGTCACATGGCTGTACATTATGGTTCAGCATTGGTCACATGGCAGTACATTGTGGTTAAGCATTGGTCACTTGGCTGTACATTATGATTCAGCATTGGTCATATGGCTGTACATTTTGGTTCAGCATTGGTCACATGGCTGTACTTTATGTTTCAGTATTGGTCACATGGCTGTACTTTGTTTCAGTATTGGTCACATGGCTGTACTTTATGGTTCAGTATTGGTCACATGGCAGTAAGTTGTGGTTCAGTATTGGTCACATGGCTGTACATTATGGTTCAGCATTGGTCACATGGCAGTACATTGTGGTTAAGCATTGGTCACTTGGCTGTACATTATGATTCAGCATTGGTCATATGGCTGTACATTTTGGTTCAGCATTGGTCACATGGCTGT